AATCTCAGTAGAGGGAGTGATGCTTTTGAAACGCACTGCTCTTTGTTTTGATTTCATCTGATGTGATGTAAAGGTCACTGCCTTTTGAAGGAAGCTTTCTTTAGTGGAGCTGAATGGTGTAGACGAAGTCAAAATAAGAGTGAATTTAATAGCAACCCTAGATTTTATCATTTAGGTGGTGGGCCATCCTCTCTCAAAACGCTCTCCAGATAAGTCTGGCCCATTAGTGCCAAATGAGTCACCTGCGTTTAAGCTTGCGACACTATTCTCAAGTTCTGTAAAAATGCCCTACTTGTGTTTCTCATCAAAAGTGTTCCCATATAGATCCAGAAGTTCATTTCAATTTTCAAAGCAGACAAGTAATTTCAAAAAATAAGTAGAAGAATACAAATTAAACATGATTATGTGTAGAAATCATTTGTGGACTTGAACTTCCTGTTCATAGGGAGGTATACAGCACACTCTTCGCTGGAATAATGCCGACCCTGTTTCAAATGAAAGATGGATATTTGGAAATGTGGGTCCCCTGAGAATTGAGACCCTTGGTAACCCCACAGCTTAATTATCAATACTAAGCATCAAGACCTCTCCATCAACATGACTTGAATATTCATTCCAGGAAATGAATGTCCAGGAATTTAAGGCCTTAACCATAAGTACTTTCATTGTTAGCTTCAGGAACTTTCCAAAAATCCACTCATCCGAGCTACAGAGTAACGGGCCATTTCCTTTCTCTAGACGACAACAGGTCATCAACTGGACAAACCAATTACGTCAGATTAACTGGTTCTCATCAAAACTTGGGCCAAGACACTGCCCAGGTAGGCATCAATCCTAAATATTTTAAGAATGCTGTTTCTAAAAATTAGTTGTATTTATTTTTTAAAGGTAATACATATATATGGTTAAAAATTCAAAAGGCATAGAATAGAACAGATTTCTGGAGTAGAGACGGCAGCCCAGAGTCACCATTTATTTTCCCTCTTCTCAGAATCACCCCAAATCAAGAAGGTAAGTGAAAATCAGAAGTACAAACTCCATCTCAATAGCTGATGACTGAACTGTCATGCTGTAGAGGGTGGAAAGAGCATTGAAGGCAGTGGAGAGATGAAGGTGTGTCACCTCTTCCTGCCCCCCACCCTGGGTGCTGCCCTCCCCCGAATAGTAATGGTTACCTGTCGATAATAACAAGTACTTGTTACTTGTTATTGTTACTTGTTACCTGAAGAGTCCTAAACTCTTTTTTTTTTAAATTGAGGTGTAACTGACATATGACATTAGTTTCAGGTATACAACATAATGATTCAGTATTCGTACATGTTGCAAAATGACCTAAACTCTTATTTGAAGAATTCTGCCCAATCTCAACCAGACCTCCCCACTAAAAACAATTAAACTCAAACCCCCAACCTTGTGAGTATCCACCCCTGACCTATCCCTTCTGAGACATTATTAAGACTGCTGAACTGGTGGCTTCCCTCACATCATAAGTATCAACATTTCACTTTGCTTCATCAACAGATCATTCAGATGACCTTTTGGGGCAGTCTACACCACAAAGGCAGATGAGAAAACGGAGGCTCGGATAAGTGAGTAGCTTAAGGTTATAGAAGAGCAGAGCCAGACGCTGGTCCAGGCCTCCTAACACTAAGTCCAGTATCCTGTGTTACACCTGGGGGACCCTGAAGATCATCTCCTCCAAACTTTAAACTTAAATAATTTCCCTGTTTATACAACAGTCCTCCAGATACCTTACATCTGGGATGTGTTTTGTATTATTTTCCCCAAATATTTGTTATTTTTTAAAAAGTTATTTCTAAGACACTAATATGTGACTAATGCCCACCAGTGATGGACTTGCCCAGGTGTTCCAGCTCGGGTCTTCTTTCCATGCCTCCCTGGGGAGGAACCTCTTAGATGAAACTAAAGACTATAAGTCTATGAAAACAAAACACTTAGGAAAATCAAGAGTGACAGAAACAAGTCTCCACCGGACCTCCCTTTTGTATCAAGGCAGCCCTATCTATTAAGATACCGAGTCTGCACCTCCTGGTCTTAAAGTTCTTTCCTTCTTTCAAAGCCTCCTTTCAAAATGCAGGTGGTCAAGGGAGAGGTGACTTCTCCCCAAGCTTTATTGAGGTATAACTGACAAATAACATTGTGTACATTTAAGGGGTACAACACGATTTGATATTCATATATATTGTGAAATGAGTACCACAGTAAAGTTAATTAACACGTCCATCTCCTCAGTTACTGTGTTTTGTACTGTTTTTGTGTGTGTGTGTGTGTGTG